ATATTACTCTCAAAGAGAAGTTGTCCTTTAAGAACCACAAATGAGCCAAATCTGGGGACACACGTGGTTACTATCTCTTTGAATCATTTGTGGAAGACAAAATTTAGAGGACTCAGCCTCACAGATGGAGGAAGATGAGGAAACGTATAGAAGATTTTCACTAATCAAAGACATGAAGGTGAGGGTAACAGGAATTGCCTTACTTCCTGAAAAGATGCTGAAACATGAACAGACAATTCACAAACTCCGTTTAGTATTAGGTAACGTTTACAGACAAGAAGCATTAATGTTTATCGTCTAGTTAAGCTTGTATATGTTTACTTCATTTCACTGAGTGTTTGCTATGTTAGGACTAAGGATACAAAGGTAAGAAGGAAGAACAAAGCCCTGCTACCATAATTTCACTTGGTCCTGACTTTACAAGCAGTTCTTTGACTCGTTTCTTTTTAAAATTTTTTTATTTTTAATTGAAGGATAATTACAATATAGTTTTGGTTTCTGCCATACATCAACATGGATCAGCCATAGGTATACATATGTCCCCTCCCTCTTGGGGCCCCCTCCCACCTCCCTCCCCATCCCACCCCTCTAGGTTGTCACAGAGCTCCAGCTGGGTTTGGCTTCCTGGAGTCACATGGCAAATTCCCACTATTCCCACTGGCTATCTATTTTACAAGACTCTTGAATTTAAAAGCAGCAGCTTTGGTTGTGAAGGCAGCTAGAAGGGAATGATCATTTTGCCTAAAGAGCTCTCACTGGGGAACTAGCTGGTGGATAATAGATGTTTCTGAGCACCCAAAACCAATTTCACGCATTCCAAATACTGAAAGTCACAGGATGAATCCTTAGGTGTGCCTCCTGGAGCCTTTATCCCTACTTTATACACAATTCTAGCCATGGTGGTACATGAAAATACTGGCTCCCTTACAAAGACACATTTTGAGAACTTTCAAAGTTAATACTGGAGGGAGATTCTTCAGTAGGGAGGGAGAGGGGAACCATGCAGTCCTGGTTTACCCTCATCTGATGCTAGTAGCTTTGTTTTCAAGGTATATTTGACCCACACCCACAACTGACAAAAGGGCAAATGGTGCCATAGCCCTAGAAAGTTAGAGGTTACCCTGAAGGATTTGATAAGGTGTTATGATTTTATAACCTTTAGAGAAATTAACCCAGAAGATACTATGGTTTTATTACCCTGTAGATTGTTACCCAGGTTTGTATCTCACTTGGCCATATTTCCTTTTGCTAACTGTATACACATTTGTGTGTGTGTGAAAGCAAGGAGACCAACTCTATTGTCTAATTGCTTAATTCCTGATTCCCTCACTAACAAAAATTAGATGCGTGAGTGCTAAGTTGCTTTAGTCATGTCCAACTCTTTGCGACCCTATGGACTATAGCCCTCCAGGCTCCTCTGTCCATGGGATTCTCCAGGCAAGAATACTAGAGCAGGTTGCCATGCCCTGCTCCAGGGGATCTTCCCAACCCAGGGGTCAAGCCTGCATCCCTCATGTCTCCTGCATTGGCAGACAGGTTCTTTACCACTAGAACCACCTGGGAAATCCAAAAATTAGATACATTCTAACAAATAACTTTGTTCAAGAATTTTGCTTTTAAAGTTCTGTATTCTTGTAGCTAAGTTGATAAAGAATCTGCTTGCAATGCAGGAGACCTGGGTTCGATTCCTGGGTCGGGAAGATCCTCTGGAGAAGGAAATGGTACCCCACTCCAGTATTCTTGTTTGGAGAATCCCATGGACAGAGGAGCCTGGCAGGCTACCGTCCATGGGGTTGCAAGCGTTGGACATGACTTAGCAACTAAACCACTACCATTTGCTTTTAAAGCTCTGTCACACACATTATCTGAGATACTTAGCTGTTCTTCAAAGACTGAGAGAATTTCAAGGATATCTCATCTATGTTACCTTCTTCTTAGATCCTACCGCGTCTACAGAAGGAGGCAACCATCTCAACATTCATTCCAGAGTATGTTTTATTGGTAGTTTTGATGGCTTTGTGGTTGGGACCAGGAGCGATGTATTCTTAGCTCACGGCAGCTCCTTAGGCCTCTCCTTCTCAGCTGCTCATCAGTTGATTGGCACCATGAAGGACCTGATCAGGACCTTTTAGATACATCAGTGTAAGTATCTGAATGTAACAAAGTGCCAAAACTCTGTGCCAAGAGACATGTACCCAGAAGCCTTTCTTAAAGAACTTTGTAATATTTGTAACTCCAATATATTTGCTGTTTCTATTACAGCTTCCCTGGTAGCTCAAATAGTAAAGAATCTGCCTGCAATGCCAGAGACTGGGTTCAATCCTTATTTGTTTCCCTAAAACAAGTGTTAAAACTTCAAATAAGAAGAGCCTATGTTGAAGGATCATGAGAATAAATTTTCCTTTTTTATTTCTGTTCTTCCTCTATAAATAAGCACTGTTAGCAATTTGATTTATAGTTTGGTTTCCAGACAGTTTTTCTATGTATTTTCAATATGTTCTGCTATCTTTCCATATCATAGGCTATCTCTTTGAACCCCTTCCTCACAGTTATGAAAGATTTTCACAAAAGACTTTGAATGTTGGTACCAAAATGGAATACTTGAAAATTGTGCTCAACCTATTTGGGGATTTAGGAAAGAACTGCTTGTAATTTTTCTGTTTTGTCTATTGTTGGAAAGACTTATGGAGTATGGGGAAAGGTTGGTGAAAACATGGAGAAGACAATAGAAAAGAAACTTAGAGAAGCTGGAAAGAGTTACCTAGAAAGTCTGGTGTATAAGTCTCCAGTGAGAAGGGGGTGTGGGAGCAGAATTCTCACAGACTTTACAGGGTCGCTCCCATCTGACAAATGGTGAGGACAGACATATGTGCAGGAGAACGCAACTGTCCTTAAAAACATGGGAGTGAGTGCGGCTGAGAAACTGAGAAAAGAGCAGCAGATGGCTATTCAACATAAGCTGGACAAAGATGTTTGCTACCAAACTCAGCTTCCGGTGTTCACTGCTGTAAAGCCAGTACTGGAGAGGGAAGCACTGATTGGAAAAGGAAAGCTTTCCTTTATTCAGCAGGCCAGCAACCTGGGGAAAAGGCAGACTTGTGTCCCAGAACCAACTCCAAAGATTCTGCTTGGCCATGAACATTTTTCACTCAAGAGACCTGAACACTCTGATGGATTTCAGGCAAGTACCTATGCGAATGGTAAGCATTTGAAGGTGGTCAGGCCAAGTCATATTGGGTGCACATCCAGTTACTATTTATAGCAGAGGAAGTTTATTCATGAGGCAACCAGGCAAGGAGATGGGAGAACAAGTCTCAGCTCTGCCCTCTGGAAGGCAAAATATTTATGGCATGGTAAAGCAGGGTGGGGCTCCCCTGGGGGCTCAGTGGTAAAGGATCCACTTGCCAATACAGGCACACGGGTTCGACCCCTGATTCCAGAAGATCCACACGCTGCAGAGCTACTAATCCTGTGCGCCACAACTACTGACCTGTGTTCTAGGGCCCAGGAGCTGCAGCTACTGAAGCCTGAGCACCCTAGAGCCCATGCTCTGCAACGAAAGAAGCCAGCACAATGAGCAGCCTGCAGGCAGAAACTAGGGAGTAGCCCCCGCTGGCCTCAACTAGAGAAAAGCCTGCTGAGCAACCAAGGCCCAGCACAGCCAAAAATAAATAAATAAAATAAAAATAAATTTTAAAAGCAGGGTGGTTTTAGGAGTGGGGAAAGGTGATTGGAGGTAGGGGAAAGGTGAGATAATCGTTGTTCTGCAGAGGTGTTTCTGGGTTACATGCTTCTTCATGGGATACATGTTCAAAAATGGTGCAGTTTTTAGCCTCCTGACGTCAAAAGGTTATTCACTGGACACCTGGGCAGGCCCAGTCTGGGGGCTGGTGGTCCCAACCACTCTTGACCAGTTTGAACTGGGTAAGAGTCAACTCTAGGTTTCTAGAAAACAACTTAAATCCACCTGTTACCATAGTGACCCATACGTCAGAGACGTTATCTAGAGGGGTGGTTAAGGAGCCCTGTAATATATCATCTGGGCTACATGAAGCTTGGAGGGTAGACAATTAAGAAAAACAACAACTAAATTAGTTGTTTAAGAAAAACAACTCATTTACTAAGTAGTGAAGGGAGGTTACAGACAGAGAGGGTTTTAATAAACCTATTCGCTTATCTACTGTTTTGTAAGACACACTTGGGATTTAAGATGCCAGTTTCTGTTAACCCTATAGGGTACAGTTTCAATTCTACATGACAACAAACTGTGCATTTCTCCTTTGTACAAAGAGAACAACCATCGCCTGGGCTAGGATCTGTGGCGTAATTTCAGCCACTGTGTTGGGTTGGCCTGGGTCAGTAGACAGCAACCATGAGGTTCAGGGTCAGCAAGAGCAGTGACAATGCAGATGGTCTCTGGGTGTTATAGCCACGCTTTCCGGGAAACAAACTCACTCAGAAGGACAGTGCAGATAGTGGAGTGCAGTTTATTACACCGGCGGGCCCAAGGCAGAGTCTCCTCTTAGCGAAGGACCCCGACGAGCATTTGTGAAAATCTTTTATACCCCATGTGTACGTGTCCGAACCCACCAGCCCAGTTTCCTTGAGACTTACATAAACAAAGGAAGGGTAAATACAATGACAATAACCCCATCATTCACGTGTTATGTGTTCAAACAGTTAATAATCAATAAGCCCGCAGTTACATTCCAAACAGTTAATAATCAATAAGCCCGTAGTCACGTTCCAACCAGTTAATAATTGATAAGCCTGTGATTACATACTGATAGATATGGAAAAAAAATTATGACCTGTCCGGAGACAGGGGTGATTACGGTGTGTTTCCTAGTAACCTGGATGTGATCTTCAAGATTCCCCTGCCCAGAGGGCGTCTTATCCTTCCATTGTCACTCGCATAAGCTCTAAGCACAGAGTTCAGAGTCCACTGGAGAGGTGGCCGCCCACGACCAGCACGGACAGGCCTGAGATGGAGTCCAGGCCCTATGAATTTCTTCTTCATGGGTAACAACAGCGTGGGCTGGTCAGGGCATGCGTTCGGTCTGCTCGGGTTTCAGAAGGCAGTGTACCAGGCATTTCAGTAAACAAAGAAACAGCAGCACATTTTGGAGTGTTACATCAGGGCTGTTCTGTGGAATCCTCTGACCTCAAGGGGGTACACTGAGTTTGGGTTTAAGAAGGAAAAATTATAGCTAGACAGACAAATATTTGGGCGTGAATCAGAATGCCTGGGGCTTCTTGTATATACAGTTCTTGGGGAGTAAAATTCAAAAAAAACTGGACTTCCTGCAGTCATGCATGCCACACTAAATTGTATAATACAGGGAAGCATGGCTGGTAAGTATCATACGAGGCTATGCTTATCCAGATCACTGTGAATACTTCATTTATTGCTTCTGCTGAATTCTTTTCCTCTTCAGGCTCAAATCTGTACTCTATTTTGCCTAGTGAGTATTCTTTTCTTGTTGGCCTTATCCTGTGTTGTTGAGGGAAACTACATGACGGCCTTGAGGAGAAGGTCCTCACAAGGAACTGGAGAAGGACGAGGGCCGCCAGGCATGTCTCGCTGCTTTGCCCTGGGAAACATTTCCTGCACCTTCTAGCTGGTCATCACACAAGTTTAGAGCACTGACAGACCTTGCACCTAATGAACTCTTGTCCATCTGGTTCCAACTGGATATCTGAAAACCACGAGGACCAAAATGCAACGCTCTTATCCTAGGTGTCAAAGCCAGGACTTAAGACCCCATGGACACTCCATACCCTTTAGCTATTTTCAGACAGCTGCCCACCGCCCCTCCCCATCTCCTTCTACAAGATGGACACATCTGCGACCCCATCCTGAGGGAGCTGGGAGGGAAGAAAGGAGGGAAGACGGAGGCTCCCCAGCACAGACAATCAGAGACTTGGCCTTGACTTGAGTTGTTAAGATAGGACTGCCTCCCTTCTCCAGCTGGCAGGAACAATGACCCCTGGGGAGCTCAAGCCCCCGGGGGAGGAGGAACTTATGGCTTTTACGACTGCAAGAGAATAGTGCTGAGAATAACAAACTTGCCTTGAGGAAAGCAGATTGTCTTTTGATCTTGAGAAAATAGAGTCTATGTGTCTCATGAACTTTGTAAACTTGCTGTTATCAACTTTGTACATGCTCAAGCTCCATCTGTGTAACCTTGGTTTTTGTAAGCTATTTCCTTGCTCTCATGTATAAAATGACTCGCTGTAGAAGTAAAGTTTTGTCAGTCTTCCATAGAGGCTGTCCCTGTCCTTTTCTCAGAGTCTACTCCGCCGAGCCTTTCACAAGTGGCGCCCAACGTGGGGCTCGAAGTCACGACGAGTTGAACACGGAGAAAGATTCCTGCAGAAGGAGGTAAGCAGACAATGGGACACCAGGCAAATAAGATACCTTTTGTTTCACTTATGCATCATTTTTTTAAACAATTCGGCACTAACGTTTCTGTTGATCAGTTAACTGAATGTTACCAGCTTGTTTTAGAATACAATCCTTAGTGTACCGAGGAAGGGACTTTAAATGAACAAGGATGGCAACGCGTTTGAAATAATGTCTTAACTGCATATCGCCGAGGCGCTCAAATTCCTCCCCGATGGTGGGTTACTTGGGCATTGATTCGGACTGTTATTGAACAGCTTGATGGCAAAAATGTTGATGTAGAAGTAGAAACGGTGCAATCTTTACATGAATATGAATTAGATGAAAAGGATATGCAAGGTGCTTTACATCATAAGAATGTTCTTTTTAATCAGAAGGGACCCACTGATGTTGGCCATGAGAGCAAACAGCCATCTGCTGTTTGTGATTTTTGGTCTCCTAAAACCGAAAGTAATTTTCCCCCACCGCCGAAGGAATTCCGTAGCACCGCTCTTCATTCCGCTCCAGCTCTAACGCTCCCTTCCCAAGTTTGCCTTGATGCTTTGCCACCAGGGGACCTAATTAAACGCGCATTCCCCATCGTATTTAACCAACCACAACCAGGTCATGTTACCTGGAACCCTGCTAATTTTACTTTAGTTTCTGCTTTCAAAAAAGCATGCACTCTTCATGGGCCCACTTCTCCGTACTGTCTTGAATTCCTTCGGAACTGGGCGGATCATTGGCTCCCCGCCGACTTTGCGGCGGTGGATAAAATGGTTTTGGCTCCTCAACAATTGTTGCAATGGCAAATGTGGGTTAATGATGAAGCAAAAGAAATTTTACAGGAACAACAAAGCCACAAAATTCCTGCTCAGCTCACTTTTGACATTTTAACAGGAACCGGCACTATGGCTGAGGTGGGGGCTCAATTACAAAATACTGCCCCACCCATGGTATGTTGGATAAAGGAGGTTGCCTTGCATGCCTGGGCAAAGGTCGACAGTGCTCTGTCTGATGGGTCTTTCGTCAAAATATTTCCAGGACCACGGGAAGAATATGCCCAATTTCTAGGAAAGCTTAAAGACGCTATAGAGAAATCCATTAAGGATGCTAATCTGCAGCAAATGTTGCTAAAACAGTTAGCATTTGAAAATGCTAATGAGGACTGTCAGAATGTGATCCGACCAATTCGAGAAACCGGATCTATTATGGATTATATGAAAGTCTGTCGAAACATTGGTTCCATTCAGCATAGAGCTAAAGTTGCAACCATGGAAACTCTCGCTTCACAAAAGGCTATGAATTTGAAGCGTTTCAATTGTAGGAAGCCCGGCCATTTGAAGAAGCAGTACCACCTCCCCACTAGACCAGGGCAACCTCCTCCTACTGTGAATTTCAAAGAGAAAGGGAAACCTCCCGGGCCTTGCCCGCGATGTAAAAATGGGAATCATTGGCTAAATGAATGCAAGTCGAAATATGACAAAGCGGGGAATCTACTATTGCAAAAAAAGGACTGTCAGCCAGGAAACTAAATACGGGGCTACCCTTCAGCCCCGCACACAAAGAGGGGAATCCTCATAATATTCTTCAGTTGCAGGCAGCTATGCAACATAGTGCTTATGTTGATATTCCTTGTCCTAAAGATATGGAACTTTTGATGATAAATTCTCCTTATAAAATGAACACTGGGTATTACCGCCCGATACCCCCTCAAACCGTGGGACTAATTTTAGGTCGAAGCAGTTGTACCATGCAAGGGCTCACAGTTATGACTGGAGTTATTGATGAGGATTACATAGGGGAAATTTCACTAATGGTTCAAGTCACCCGGAATTTACATTTGCAGAAAGGTGACAGGTTTGCTCAGTTACTTCTTCTGCCATATATAAAACCACAAAAGACTTCTACCACTGCCACAATGGGGGGTTTCAGTAGCACTAACATTACTGCAGGATTAACTACTCTATTACATGAACTTAAAAAACCTTTATTACGACTTAATATTTGGGGAAAAAATTTTGAGGGCATGCCAGACACTGGAGCGAATATCTCCATTATACGCCGCTCCAAATGGCCCCCAGAATGGCCCATGCGACCGGCCTCTAATAGAATAATTGGTGTAAGAGAAGCTAATTCCTTAACCACTTTCGAAAGTGTTTCCTATTTACAAGCTCATGGTCCAGACCAAATTACAGTTTATATAAAACCCTATATCACTGAAGTTCCTATTAATCTTTGGGGCCAAGATTTCTTACAACAAACTAAAGCAAGACTTGTACTTAATGAACCTTTTTGATCGGGGCCACTGAGTTACCGCCAGTTATCGCCGCTATGCCTACAGTGGAGATCTGATGCACCTGTGTGGACTGCCCAGTGGCCCCTGACTACAGTAAAATTAGCGGCTTTAAAGGATTTCGTGAAGGAACAATTGAATTATGGGAGAATTGAACCTTCTTTTTCTCCATGGAATTCTCCTGTATTTATTATTAAAAAAAGTCGGGTAAATGGAGAATGCTTATTGACCTGCGCACTGTTAATGACACCATGGTAACCATGGGAGCATTACGGCCTGGTCTTCCAAATCCTGCTATGATTCCAAAAAATTGGCCTGTTATCATTATGGATCTTCAAGACTGCTTTTTTACACTGCCTCTTCATGAGGAAAATAGACAACGTTTTGCCTTTTCTATTCCCACGACAAATAATATTCATCCTGTTCAGAGATATCATTGGAAAGTTTTACCTCAAGGTATGAAAAATTCCCCCACCATCGGCCAATATCTTGTCACCCAGACTTTGCAGCCCGTGAGGGACACATACCCTAACGTTTATATTATACACTATATGGATGATATTCTGCTGGCCAATGCTTCGCCGCTCCAATTAGACAAAATTTTTTCAGACACTGTTCAGCAATTACAAAGTCATGGCTTAATCGTATCAGAAGAAAAAAATCCAATGTATAGAGCCTTTTAATTATTTGGGCTATCTTTTAACAAAAAACAAAGTAAAACCACATAAAATGTCCATTAGAATGGATTTCATGGAGACTTTAAATGATTTTCAGAAATTGTTGGGCAACATTAATTGGTTGCGACCCTCCCTGGGCATTCCCACATATGCTTTGCAAAATCTTTTTAAAACTTAAAAGGACCTCCAGACTTAAATAGTTCTCGCCATCTGAACTCTGAGGCAAAAGGAGAACTAGAATTAGTAGAAAAACATATTGCTGATGCCTTCGTTCATCGTATCCAACCTAATCTTCCAATTTTTTTATATATTTTTCCCACTATTAGATCTCCTACTGCTGTTATATCACAAGCAAATCCCCCAATAGAATGGGTATATCTCCATTCAAAACAGGCCAAAAAAAATTGTCTCTTATCTTGAGCTTATTGGCACTATTGTTCATCAGGGTCGTGCTCGTATACAAGCACTCACTAGATATGATCCTGATGGTATATATATCCCCATTTCAAAAACAGAATTTAATGCAGCATTACAAAATAATATCATGATACAGATTGCCTTTTCTGATTTTCAAGGATCTTTACTTTCAAATTTGCCTAAAGGTAAACTTTGGGACTTTCTGAAAAAAACTCCTTTTGTTGTCAATTCCATCATTTCTGAAACCCCTATTCCAGAAGCACCTACCTACTACATAGATGGAAATAAACAAGGATATTCTGGAATAGTGGTCCTCACTGGATGAAACGAGTAAAAAGTCCTTTTTCTTCTGTTCAGAGAGCTAAACTTTATGCTTTATATCTTCTACTAGACTATGAATCTTCCCCTTTTAATATACTTACAGATTCATTATACATTGCCTCCATGTTTCCTAATTTTATCACAACTCTGCTTTCTTCTTCAGATTTGGAATTGACTCAATTGTTTCTGTCTGTTCAGACTCTCATACAATCACGTTCATGCCCTTTCTGTATTAAACATATCCGTGCTCACTCAGGTCTTCCTGGACCTTTAGCAGCTGGAAATAATAAGGTTGATAAATTAATAAGTGCTCTCTTCTCTCCAAAAGAAGAACATGAGCTCCTTCATACCAATGCTAATCGCCTACATGGCCACTATCATATTCCTTTATCTGCTGCTCGAGATATTGTACGATCTTGTTCTGTCTGTTTCCCATTACATCAACGGATGTCACCATCAGGAGCTAATCCTCGCGGCCTTCATCCTGATGAATTGTGGCAAGCTGATTTTACCCATTTTTCTTTGCCCCTTCCTCTCTGCTTTTCATTTTAGTTGCACCCATTCAGGCTTCATCTGGGCTGTTCCTGCCTCTTCTGAGTCAACTAAAGCAGCAATCCAGGGCTTACTGTCCGCTTTTTCAGTGATGGGCCTACCTCATACTTTGAAACCTGATAACGGTCTCACTTTTACTTCAAAGGGTTTTGCAACTTTTCTTTTGGATTGTAACATCCTTCATCTTCGTGGAATCCCCTATAACCCCCAGGGGCAAGCCATTATCGAAAGGGCCCATAGGACCCTTAAATTAACTTTAAATAAATTAAAAGGTGGGACACTGTATACAAAATATGGCCCAAAAGGATATTTACCTCTTACTTTACTTACCATAAAGTTTTTGAACGAATCTTCAGAAAAGATGACTAGAGACAAAAGGCATTTCTTGAATATGCCCAAGACTAATGTTTCTGAGCAATTTTTGAATTTGGATGTTTGGGTTAAACGATTTAATAACTGGAAGCCAAGGGTATTAAAGCTGCTAGGCAGAGGATATGGTCTTGTCTCTACAGATGGAGAAGATATCTGGGCCCCGCAGTGGTATGTTCGTCCTTGACAACAAGGATCCCTCAAGAGCAAAGAAATGGGTGACCCTCATCACCAAGAGAATGGCCACAATGTCACTGGAGGAGGAGAAACAACGGAAGCGAAAGAGAACTGCCCCAGCTCAACCGCACCCCACTGGGGCACAGATCGAGAACCTGACAAGGAAAGCTGAAGATGCACTGAAAGCAGCTGGAACCCCTTTAACTCCTGATAAACTTCTCTTGGGTATGCTAGCTGTATTGTCCTGTACATCGGCGGTGAGTGCTAATTATACATACTGGACTTACATTCCTGCTCCCCCTCTGTTGCAATTTGTTGATTGGAGTGAACCTAGCCCTCTGGTCTTCACTAATGATAGCCAACACTTCCCTCCTCCATGGTCTAGAGCTGGACCTACTCACCCTGATGAAGAGGGGAAAGCAATCAACATATCCATAGGGTATAAGGTTTTACCTATTTGCTTCGGTGCAAGTCCTCCTTGCATGTCTATATTCCCTCAATGGTGGGGTTATTCCTATAATAATGGCACAGGTTTTAGGTTGGGTTTTTTTGCTGCCGCTTCATTTCTGTTAAATCAATCTGAAAGGTACTATCATGGGCAAATTTCTAACAGTACAGATGCTTTATTTTTGCCTGATGAACCTCCCTGTGAAGCAGTATCCTGGCGAAGGAAACATCAGGGTCCTTCATTATTATGGTCTGAGTGCCGGGGAATTTTTGGAAAAATATCTCGTTATTTGAATTTTACCTTTGTTGATTGGGGACCACATGGAATGTTTGTTAATTGCTCTGAATGGGAAGAGAAAACCTGCAATGGGACAAAAAATATTAGATTTAATCATTCTTTGAGCGGATTATGGCATCAACAGAATGATATCCTCAACTGGTATAATGGTGGCCTATCTCCACCCAGGCCCCGTATGATCCATCCTCAACTTGGGCCTGAACATTGGCACATCTGGAAAATACCCGCCTCTTTACACCAATTTGCTACCCTTGTAGGACATGCTCGTACTTCAGGCCCCCAAAACTATACTATCACTTATAGTGGCACTGGGTTTATTCAAGCATGTGTACGCCCTCCTTTTCTGTTTGCTATAGGAGAATTCATTATTACAAACTCTACACAACTAATACATTGCACAAACTGTAAACTCTACACTTGCTTAAACCATAGTTTGCCATTCAATCATAGTAGGGAGGGAATTTTCCTTATGAAACAGAGAGCGGAATTATGGATACCTGTTTCTCTTGATGAACCATGGTCTGACTCTAGGTTTCTATCATTTTTATTAAAAAGAGTTGTTAAAAGAACTAAACGCTTTATTGGTTGGGTTATATTGGGCGTTGTTAGCCTCATAACAGTCGTGTCTCTTGGCACTACGTCAGGCATGGCCTTACATAATTCCATTCAAAATCATGAGTTCATCACTTCATGGCACCAAGATTCCCATGAGCTCTGGACACGACAAGCAAAAGTTGATCAGCAGATCCAGGCCTGGTTAGATGAAATACAGGATGCTTTGATATATATAGGAGACCAAATAAATCAATTAAAATTACAACTTAAACTGAAATGTCATTGGAAATCTACAGACTTTTGTATTACTAATTTACCCTACAATGCCTCTGAGTACCCTTGGGACTCGGTTAAAGCTCATTTGCAGTTAGAGAAAACTAACATGAGTCTTGATATTGAAAAATTGAAGAAACAAATACGTGACAGTTATTCTCACTCACCCCCAGAATTATATAGTTCGCAGTTTTATGATGCATTAACCTCCGCCTTGTCATCACTAGACCCTCGATCTTGGTTTCCATCTGCTCATGCTGTCTCATATGTTCTAATAATTCTCATTATATGCATTGCTATTATAGTCCTCCAACACCTCTAGATCAGATCCTCCCAAACCCAAGCTACAGAAATAAAAATGATGGCTGCAGTCCTAACACTAAAAAAGAAAAGGAGGAAATGTTGAGGGAAACTACGTGACGGCCTTGAGGAGAAGGTCCTCACAAGGAACTGGAGAAGGACGAGGGCCGCCAGGCATGTCTCGATGCTTTGCCCTGGGAAACATTTCCTGCACCTTCTAGCTGGTCATCACAGAAGTTTAGAGCACTGACAGACCTTGCACCTAATGAACTCTTGTCCATCTGGTTCCAACTGGATATCTGAAAGCCACGAGGACCAAAATGCAACGCTCTTATCCTAGGTGTCAAAGCCAGGACTTAAGACCCCATGGACACTCCATACCCTTTAGCTATTTTCAGACAGCTGCCCACCGCCCCTCCCCATCTCCTTCTACAAGATGGACACATCTGCGACCCCATCCTGAGGGAGCTGGGAGGGAAGAAAGGAGGGAAGACGGAGGCTCCCCAGCATAGACAATCAGAGACTTGGCCTTGACTTGAGTTGTTAAGATAGGACTGCCTCCCTTCTCCAGCTGGCAGGAACAATGACCCCCGGGGAGCTCAAGCCCCCGGGGGAGGAGGAACTTATGGCTTTTACGACTGCATGAGAATAGTGCTGAGAATAACAAGCTTGCCTTGAGGAAAGCAGATTGTCTTTTGATCTTGAGAAAATAGAGTCTATGTGTCTCATGAACTTTGTAAACTTGCTGTTATCAACTTTGTACATGCTCAAGCTCCATCTGTGTAACCTTGGTTTTTGTAAGCTATTTCCTTGCTCTCATGTATAAAATGACTTGCTGTAGAAGTAAAAGTTTTTTCAGTCTTCCATAGAGGCTGTCCCTGTCCTTTTCTCAGAGTCTACTCCGCCGAGCCTTTCACATGTGTCTTCAATGACTTACAGGATATCTTATGCATGTATTATCTCACACTTAATTTGCCTAAAACCCACCTTAACAAACCATGCTTGTAGCTGAAATTCAGCTTCTGTACCCTAGTACCAAACTGAATCTCAGAGACGGAACTTTGGGTGAAATAGAAAACAACAGATTTATTGCTTTGCCAGGCAAGGGGAACCACAGCAGACTAATGCCCTCAAAACTATGTGGTGGCTCCAGAGGAGGTAACGAGTTTTATAGTAACAGTTCAAAGAGACGGGTGTGATCAGCTCATAGCCATTCTTCTGATTGGTTGGTGATGAGGTAATTGGGAGTCAGCATTGTCCATCTCTGGTCCAGCCAATCTGGGGTCTACATGCTTGTGGGAAGCACATAGTTAACTTTTTCTGGTAGGGGTTTCAGTATCTGCAAAATAGCTCAAAGATATTGCTGGGTATATTCATTGAGCGGGGGAAACTTTGACCCTGCCCCAAGGCTGTACCGCTGTTTCTAGATTGCTCTTCTTCTGTTTCTGCATTTCCTCCCTTCCTTGATTAGCAACTCTTTGAACCTGCCCTTGGGAACTCAGGGAAGGTCGTGGAAGCTGTATGAAGACTATTTCCTACAAACAAGAAATAGGCACAGAAAGACTTTTGTGCCCTGAAGACCCACAGGTTCCTGCTTGGTTTCATGCTTACAGATCAATAAGAAAAAAATATCCAGAAGAAAAATGAACAAAGGACATAGACATACAGAAAATGCATGAAAGAAAAAACAAATGGCCAATAAACATGAAAAAATGTTCAATCTCATTACGAATTTCTAAAATAACACACACAAAAAAATCACTTTTTTGCCTGTCATATTAATAAAGGTTTCTGAAACCTAGAGTTCCACTGTCATAATGTTGCAGTGAAAAGGAAAAGAGGAATGAATTTTTCTTTCCCTTTCCTGAGAACAAAGAAGATAAAACAGTGAGCAGGGCTGAACATTCCTAGTTTTTAAATTTCTGCATGTCTTTAAGTTTGCTTTTCTGCCCCCTAACTCTGCAGGAGTTACAATTCAAGTTTTCTCCTTTGATTCTATGCTAAATACATATCTGGTGTTTATCCTTACAACACCCTTCCCCTTATAGTTACATATGGAAAGGAGGCCACAGAGCCACTGAACTGCCAGACTCAGATACTGGGTTACTGATAGTTTATGACTATCCCTGAAGCAATGCAAAAGGAAGAAATCGAGATCCTGTCACCTTTGTTCCTCATCACTGATCCTGACTGCGAGCCCTTGCCTTATATAAGCCCCTAGACACCTCGTGGAGGGGGAGCACAGTTCTTGAGGCATGAGTCTACTGTGTTCCCTTCTCTGCAGGCTGAGAATAAAAGCCATCTTTCTATTTCTTCAAACTCTGTCTCCGTATTTTTCATTGGGCCTCGGTGGGCAGAGAAGGCAAAGATTTTGGCTGACAATAATGATCCAGATTTAAAGCTCTTTTTCAGATAGTGATTCCAACGTCTCCAAGCCTGAAGTCAGTTTTCAGGTCTGCCTGGGATTCTTCCCTCCAGGTGAATGACCCCTCCACTCATTGGTTATCTTTAGAAAAGAAACAAGGGAGGTTTTCAGACATTTAGAAAAGCTAAGAAACCTCAAAATGTCATCTACAACAGCAAATTTTACCTAATCAAGTTTCAAGCAATAGGGATAAGTCTTCTGCAAACACTTAACATACAAGTATACTTGAGATTTTTCTCTGAGAAGGACACATTACTTATTTCCCAAAGTAGTATTCCCAGGGATCCTATTTCAGGACAGAGGAGGGGGATGGTTTATAGAACTGGTTTTTGAGGAACACATTTTGGGAAATTCTGGTTAAATAACAATAGTTAATATTGTCAACTCAGTAAAAAACTCTTTGCCTTGCTCTGGCACCAAGCTAAGTGTTACAAGAAGCACACTGACTAAAACCACCCACCCTGGCCAGGTACCACAGTAGCCATTTGCATGAATTATTTTACAACAGGAGGTCCTGGTAAGGAACATGGAAGTAATAAGCCACCGCCAATCAGAAAAGTGAAGTGAAAGCCACTCATTCGTGTCTAACTCTTTGTGACCCCATGAACTGTAGCCCACCAGGCTTCTCTGTTCATAGAATTCTCCAGGCAAGAATACTGAATTGGGTTGCCATTCCCTTCTCTAGGAGATCTTCCTGACCCAGGGATTGAACCTGGGTCTCTTGCATTGCAGGCAGATTCTTTATCATCTGAGCCACCAGGGAAGCCATGTGAGACACCAGGGAAGCCCCACTAACTGGAAAAGTTCGGGAAAGGTCAAAAGCAGATGCCACTATGACCTCCCAGAATCCTTCTTGCTGACATCCATCTCGGCCGAGCAACACACACACACCACCAGGAAGGATTCTGAGTCAGAATGATTGGCCAAAGACAACCCGGAAGCTAACCCCATCACCATAAAACCTGAGACGGTGAGCCACGTGGCACAGCAGTTCTGGCTTCCCTTACCCTACTACTCGTCACCCAGGTACCGTGGCTTTTATACCCTAAATTAGTACATTTCTAAGGGGAAGATAAGTTTAACATTACACCAGCTTGTTCTTCATGAAACCAGGGTGTTTTCTACATACTTCTTTGCTTATGAGGGTCTTGTACATTATCTTCTGGCCTTGGGGCCTATTAACATTTTATGCAAGTCAGGTGAATGTAAGTCTATTTTCTGTTTCTATGGTGACCTTAACTGAAAGGTAGCAGTCTCATAGGGCAACAGTATAGAGTAGAAGTATAACCTTGTTAACACAAAAATTAATCCTTCTGCAGAAGTTGTCAGTTGCATTTATCTAAGAAGCTTACCCTAGACTGACTCTGCGACTTTGGTGAGGCAGCCTCTGCCTAGCACTCCTGGCTGACAATTAACAACCATCTCATTGTTACCACACTAGGGCTAAGCTCTTATTTCTCTAGATCTTTATCTATATTAACAATGGTTTCTATAACACAACCTTAGCACATTAAAAGCAACAACACAGCAAGCAAAACACAGCAAACAAATGTTAACCCAATAGCTACTTTTAGAATAATTTTTCTTGTGTTTTCTAATAGGGCTTCCTCACCCCTCAAAGGGCTCTATGTCTGTTAGGGCCTTTATATGATCAGGTTATTTATGTTATTTTATGATTAGGGTATTATAAGCAATCATGCATATTAGTACCAAGGGCATAAATGCATTTGCCAAACAAACTAAAAATACCAGCAAAGGAGTTTGAATTAAAACACTCCTTTCACCCTGGATAATCTCATAAAATACCACCACCTGGGAAACTTATTGATTAAAGTTCTAAATTGATTCTTATTTGGGAAGAGATAGGGGAAAGCCTTCTGCCTGTGTCACAGAAATTAGGGAGTAGTCTATTGAGGCAGGCATCAGAAAGACAGATACCATCTTTAAGGTGAACACCGGGGGCAGCTTTTCAAAATCCCTGAAAACCTGATCTGCCTTGCCTGTCAGGCTTTCTCCCTCATTACCTTGTCATGGGTAGGGTCTCGTGTGTTGGCTCCCAGCAAACCTCTGTGCTATATAACTTCCATGGTCTCTTTAAGCTCTGAATCCTAAGGCTCTTCCATGACCTTTAGTGTTCCATATTCTGCAGTATGTGAAAGGACTTTTTCCAACATCAAGTAGAGAGGATGCTGTTCCTTGCTTCCTTTGCCTTATTACAGAACAGCTTTCTACCTCATCGCCTACATTTTTGCCTTTGACTCCTGGATCCTTGGTGTCTTCCAAGGCCTTAGAGTAAGAAGACAGGTTTCCACTTCTTTTCAATTAAAAAAAAAAGTTTAAAATATACTCATTCTTCACTATTCTAGGTCATTTAATAAAGTAAACAAAATTTTCCTCTAATTCCATTAGGGGATAAATGGTTTCTATTGTCAGGGTCCACTCTAAAGTCTCAAATTACAGTTGATTCTTTAACAACAGGGGTCTGAACTGAGTATTTACACAATGATTTTTATTTTATTAAGTACATGAAGTACTACATCGGAGAAGGCAATGGCACTCCACTCCAGTCCTCTTGTCTGGAAAATCCCATTGACAGAGGAGCCCAGAAGGTTGAGGTCCATGGGGTCGCTGAGGGTCGGACATGACTCAGTGACTTCCCTTTCCCTTTTCACTTTCATGCACTGGAGAAGGAAATGGCAACCCACTCCAGTGTTCTTGCCTGGAGAATCCAGGGACGGGGGAGCCTGGTGGGCTGCCGTCTATGGGGTCGCACAGAGTCGGACACGACTGAAGCGACTTAGCAGCAGTACTACATGATCCACAATTGATTGAATCACCTGTTGCAGAACCATGGATATGGAGGGTTCACTATGGGATTCTGAGCATTTGTGGATTTTGGTATCCCCAACAGCTTCTGGACCCAACCCCCTGCAAATACTCGAGGATGACCATCTTGACTAGTTAAAACCAAAGATCTGAGAACATTTAGATCAAAAAAAAATTATAAGGTACACAGTGGTATAAATGTCTTATTCTTTTGTAAGAATGCTTTTAAATTTTTTTTTTTTTTTTTTTTGGCTGCACCTTCCTCCACCAGGGATCCAACCAGCACCCCAGATGAAAGCAGTAGAAGCACAGAGTCTTAAACATGGACCACCCAGAAACTCCCTTTTTTAAAACATTTTTTTGCTTAGATTTTTTTTTTGTTGGTTTTTGGAGGGCCTTATAAGCCCGGTGGGCTGCCATCTATGGGGTCGCACAGAGTCGGACACGACTGAAGCGACTTAGCAGCAACATAAGCCACTTGCTCTTTCATTTGATTTATACTATATTGCTTTCTCCTAATCAAGAGAAAGCATAATGCTTTGACAGAGTCAATTATTTTACTTAAAACATGTTTCTATATATTCCTATATGCTTGCATGCATGCTATATATTCCTATATGCACGACTGAAGTCGCTTCAGTCGTGTCTGACTCTGTGAGACCTTATGGACAGCAGCCCACCAGGCTCCTCTGTCCACGGGATTCTCCAGGCAAGAATACTGGAGTGAGTTGCCATTTCCTTCTCCCATATTCCTATACAGACCTAGGTAGAAAATTAAAGGGATATGTATAAGTTTTCAAAGTGTAAAATTTCAAATAATCTTATATTATAGATATTATATGCTAGAAATAATATGATGTATAGGTACAAAAAACATTTCATGAGTTCTATGCTTACTTGGGGAAGCCTAATTGGAGATTTCTGGAGCTGACACCTGATCTTAGTTTCAAACTCTGAAAAGTAAACCAGCCTAAGCAGGCAGGCGTTCCACATCAAGGAAACACCAGTGGGGGCTGTGTATCCTTGCTTTATGACTCCCAGGCAAATAAACCTTGTTCTCCATGCGATAAACCTTTAACTTGCAGTACGTGGTAGTCTTCCCCCATTTAATATTGAGCGCCTACAGCATGTCATTCAGCCGTGAAGAAACACCAACGCTGGTCCTTACGGAGTTTACGCTAACGGGACGCTCTTTAATGCCTTCTATCACCCAGTTATCCCCAAAAGATAACCTCGCCACGTCAGCCAAATTTGTAAAACCTTTCTTGGGCAGAGGGAAAGCAACGCGCAACTTCAGACCAGCTGGAAACGCAAACAGCCGGCGCACGGAATGGACGTTCGGCACCTGGCCCGCAGCCGCTCCGAGCGGCGCGCGGCTCTGACGCGTAGACCCCGCCCCCCACTCCTTCTTAGCGGCCCCGCTCCCTCGAGCTAAGTGCGCAGGCTCCTCCTCCGGGCTCCGGTTCTGCTGGAGACGCAGCCCCGCGACTACATCGCCTTCCAGCGATCTTCTGAGCGCGTCGGCTGGTCTTGTCCTGCCGCAGTGGCTGCGCTGTCGCCTGCGCGTTCGCAGGCAGGGTGGTACAGCCAGCCACTCTCCAGCCTCGGTGGTTTGGTGAACACAAGCCGCAGCGTGCCTGGAGAGTGCAACCCCTCGCCCGGCCCGGCGAGTCCCGGGCGTGAGCCGCGCTGACCGAGGGAGGATGGCAGCCTCTGGGGTAGAGAAGAGCAGCAAGAAGAAGACCGAGAAGAAACTTGCTGCTCGAGAGGAAGCCAAATTGTTGGCAGGCTTCATGGGCGTCATGAATAACATGCGGAAACAGGTACCGCCTCTGTGGGAGTGACCGTCGGCGTGGGGGAGGTGGTCGGGGCTTGGGCCCCTGACGGACCCGGCTGAAACCCGCGCCCCGTGGATCGCGACCCTCTTCTTCCTCTGTCCTCGCCCTTCCTTGCGTTTTCGCACGCCGGCGAAGCAGCTGCTGGCGGAGGGTCGCGTTAAACAGCTCTCCAGCAGAAGTGCCTCGTTGTCCGCCGATGCTGTGGCTCCCAGGTCAGACTCCTAGGGAAACTCTCGGGCTGGCGTCCGGCGTCGAGTATCGGTTGTATAACAGCTGTGCCCTAGTTATCTCTTTGTGAGCCGAGCATCCCTCCATTGGCCAGCCGTTTTTAGATGTCGTGAGATCTCGTGCGAAGAATCCCATTGGCACAGCCCAAACCGAAGCCCTCGAGGAAGGGAGAAGCGTTGCTGGCCCTGACATCAGCTCCTCTTAAATAAGGATCCCCGCCTCCCTTCTGTGTTACCGGGGTGGAGCTAGGAGAAGACAGAGCCTCCTGTACGTGTTAATTTAGAGCAGAAACAGTCGTGGATAAATTTCCGTGCCATCCATTAAGGGCCCCTTGCGTCTCTGTTATTAAGAGGAGTCTTTGTTCTGTCTTTGTGTGGCGTTTTAGTGACAGTCTTCAGCACGTCGGCGAAAGGTGGGTTGTGAAAAGAACGGGTTTTAACGCCAAAGAATGTAGACCAGAGAATCTTGTTTGTTTGGAAATGCTTCTTAGACCAGTAAGCATAGTAAAAGTCGCTTGGTCATTTTCTCATCCTGGAAGCTTTGTTTGTAGAAATGTGCGTCCAGGGAGATCTGTGGGAATGTTTCAGTTTTGTGTCTGTGGTCCTGTTTTTCATGACAAAAGCAGGATGTGAGTATAACTGCAAAACCTAGCTTGCTCATTTGGTGGTGCTGAAACTGCACAAACCAGATCGGGACTTAATTGAGAGCAGCTGGTCTCAACTTAATTGAGAGCAGCTGGCCTCCGGACTTTAATGAAGGTCAGGTTCTTTTTTCCTGCGGCTTTGTAGGACCTTAGTTCCTCAGGTAGGAATTGAACCAGCGCCCCCAGCAGTGAAAGCCAAAGAGTCCTAACCCCTGGGCCGCCAGGGAATTCCCAAAGCTCAGTATCTTTGTCTTATGGGAGAAGGAATTCAGTGAAGTGACAGGTAAGAAGTGGATTTCTTTAGAGATGCACAACCCATAGACAGAATCCAGTCTGTCTCAGTACCTGAAAATGCACCTCGAATATGGTTAGTTTTCCTGGGCTCGATCATTTCATAGGCTAATGAGTGGAAAGATTATTCCAACAGTTTCAGGGGAAGGGGTGGAGATTTCTGGGAACTGGGCCGTCACCCACTTTTTGGCCTTTTATGGTTAACCTCAGAAGAGTCAGGGCACTGGTGGGTGTGTCATTGAGTTTGTGCTAATGCATTACAGTAAGTGTGTAATGAGGCTCAAGGTCCACTGGAAGTCGAATCTTCCACCATCTTGGACCGAGTTGGTTTTAACCAGTTTTTGTCATGTCGTGTGGCTCTGCCACCCTTTCCTACCGTATCTGTTCTGATGGGAATATGGACAATAGTAGAGGAATTTTAAGATTTTTTTTTTTGAAGGTCATAATCGGTGCTGTCTTCAAGCAAACTCTGCTGGCATCTTGTTTTTGTTCATTAGCTCCTGACATTGTGCATGAGTGCAGTAGATGGTAGTGGGAGTGCATTTAAATCTTTCCTGGTCTTTGGGCTGAAGTAGCTGTGAATGCCTGAATTCAATATTTTATGTAACTTTCATGCATATATTTACATGTATACATTCATGTTCCTTTCATGTGAACCTTTTTTATATTTACGACACTGACTTCACATTACTGGTGCATTTAACTAGTGTATGCCTCTAAAAGGTAAATGAACCCTAGATAACTAGTGCCCAGATTTGTTTCCAACAACCCTCCCGTTCCCCCAAATACGTGTTTTTCATATGCAGAGTATAGCGTTGTAAAGCATTGCCTCATTCTGTAGATAGGGTGCAACTAACTGGGTTGCAGCATCAAATGTCTGCTTGAGAAGGAGGGGATTGTCCGAGACTATGTTTAGCTTTGGGGGTTTAAAATTGATTCATAACCATTTCTTAGACTTAGCCTTAAGCAATATGAGTATCTGTTTGTTTATTGTTACAATAGAAATACAGTTACTAAAGTACCAGGATTCTGTTACTGAGTGGGAACGGAAAGATGGATGCTGGATGAGCCATCAGGAATTTCTTCCACAGTGGTTAACTGGCCCTAATCTGCCAGTTGCTGCTCTTTGTCGATGGCTTTGCTAACAGTTCTCCAGTAGCATTTTTACCAACTTCTTGGAATCCTGCATCTTTTGTAAGATGTGCAGTTTGACTTTGCAGTTCATTTACGTTGTACACGTATTGTTGTGTTTGACATAATACAGAAGAGGCTCACCAAGAAGGACTGACAAGGGCAGTTGATGGGAAGTGGCAGGAGGAGAAGCTAGGGTAAGCTGGAGGAGGAATGTTGGAGTGAGGACCAGTTTTAAAATTGTCATTGTTCTCTGGTGAATACTTTTGTGTTATTACTATTTTTCGCTTTCCCTTATGTCCTCATTACTTTGAAAATGGGATGACAAGGGCCCATCTGTACACACCCAGAAACATCCCTACAAGAATTGAAGACTACTGTGAACTTATAATTCCTGAATCCCAATTCCTGCCCTAACATTAAGTAGTTCTGTGATCTTAGACAATAGGATTTAGGTCATTTCATCTCTGTGTGGCATTGCAGCCAATCTGTATGTCGTGATGAAAGGGATGCTGCTGAGCCAGCAGCCTCAGCTTCCTGTGAAGCCTTTTCTTTCATTATCCTTGCAGTCATTCCTAGCCTCCTGTTTTTAAGTAAACTTGACGATGAAGTGTAAGATTCACAAAAAGGATCCAGATCATAAATGTGCAGCTCAAAGAATTATTACAAAATGAACATACCCCCTCCAAGAAAAAGAACATGACTTGTACACCAGAGGTCTCCCTCTTATGCCCTTCTCCGTTGCTACCTCCTCAAAGGTAGCCACAATTCTGATTTCTACTACCATAGACTGGTTTTTCCTGCTTTGGAACTTGTGTCCATGGAATCATAGAGTATTTACTCACGTGTCTTGGTTTCTTAAAGCTCACATCTTTGTGAGATTTATATATACTGTTGTGTGTTGCTGTAGTCCATCTTCATAGTATGGAGTTTGCATACATACAAACTTGCATGAACATTGCATGAACACACTGCAATTTATCCCTTCTATCATGTTGGGTATTTGGGATTATTAAAACTAGTACTACTTTGAACATTTTTGTACATGTCTTTTGATGTGTACACGCATGCCTTTGTTGGGAAATACCCAAGAATGGAGTTGCTGAGTCATAAGGCAGGCTGCATTCCACTTTACTCAGTATAGGGGTACAATTTCTGAAGTTGTGCCAGTTCACACTTCAGCCAGTTCTGTATGACAGAGGCTTTTGCTCTGTCTTAGCCAACACTTGGTATCGTCAGTCTTTATGATGTTAGCCGTTCTAGTGGCTGTATAGCAGCAGCTTATTTTATTTGGTGGAGCGCCTTGTCATTTTTTCCAACTTTTTGTTTAGGTTCACATTATCTCTTATACTAGAAAGGGGCTCTTCAAAGCAGGGCAGGTCCTTAGTCACTATTGCACATAGCCAGTGCTGATGCTGTTTGGTAATGAAGTCCAGAAGACCCTTATCAGTTGAGAGATGTTTTGAGAGCTTTGAGTACCACTATAGTTCAGTTTCCTCAGGTTAAATGCATTGAAGAATAATTAGAATGTAAGAGCTTATGTTAAAGCCCCATTGAGAGTGAAGTGAGAGAACCACAAAGCTAATTCTGAGGACTGGATGCTTGCTGAGCAGTCACCCCAGTGTTCTTACTATTACTAGAATAACTCGGCCTCTGTATACTCGCTTCTCCAAGACTGTCAGTTATAGCACGTCGGTAATCCTTAGGGTCTCCTGCAATGATCTAAGCCTTCTGCATCAAATCCTCAATAATAGAAACACTTCTCAAGCACTTACTCTGGATATAGCAGTCATTCTGCAAAGTGTTTTACATGCTTTTCTCATTGAGTTTTCCTAACAACACCCATTGACAACTCCCTATTATTCAGACCTCCCCTATCCTTAACTCTTCTCCATTTTCTCTTTTTGTCTGTCCGGTTTAGGAGATATCTCTCTCTCTCTTTGCTCTCTTTTCAGTGTCCCAAGCTTTCTTGGCCCTCTGTCCTTTTTTTCACATCCTTTGGGCAAACAGCACTGATGACTGTTCACCTTTGTGCAAGGCTTCCAAGCACAGCTGAAGAATATCCCATTACTGGGCAGCCCTCCACCGGGTGAGTCCTGACTTCACCTGGCCTGGCAGTACTACTTACTGGTGAGCAATCCCACTTATCCATTTATTTTACTGTTTTCCTCTAACCTGAACCCTTAGTCTGTATCCTTACTTTCATTAGATCATCCCTCTTTTGACATCACAAATAGAAGTCATTCGTCTGGAACTATCTATCTTTTATCTTTCCACCACCTCATCTGTAAACTTGTTTTGGCACTTTTTAAAAATTCTGCTCCTGCTAGTGAGTAAGGCCATTGAAAGCCAGTACTTCCATCTGGGCCTTGACTTTCTCAGTACTAGTCTAATCAGAAAAGTTGCTGCACCACTGATTACTCTATCCTTGTTAGGCATCATTAACTTCTCCTCTGCTGGAGTCTAGCTATCAGCATGTAGGCATGTCTTAACCTCTCTAGCTTTTAAACCAACCAACAAACCAGTCCTCTTATTCTTTATCTCAGTAAGTAAGTAAAGTCACTCAGTCGTGTCCGATTCTTTGCGACCCCATGGACTGCAGCCTACCAGGCTTCTCCCGTGGGATTTTCCAGGCAAGAGTACTGGAATGGGTTGCCGTTTCCTTCTCCAGTTTGTCTCAGTAGTTCCCTGTAAATACCTCTCTCCCTCTTTGGCTCACTGGTTATCTGTTCTCCTGTTTCACTTTGGCTTTTTAACTCATCCATTCAGGTGAATATCTGTTGAGAACCGATTGTGTGAGACCTACTTAACATAAAATGGCAGGTACCAGAGACTGGTAAAAGGCCAGTGTGACTGGAGCACAGAACGTAGCGGGAAGATGGTGAAAGATGAGAATGGATAAGTTGCTAGAGATCTACCCAGGTATAGCCTCATAAGTCAAGTTAGTGGGTTTTGCCTTTTTTCTGATACCCTTTCAAATATGTCTGAGAAGAGGAAAAGGTGTTATCAGTCTTTCTTTTGACAATGATTGACTGCTCTTTGAATTAAGTGAGTTAACTCAGTAGTTGCTGACAGACCAAACAGAAGTTCCCAGTGAGATGGTCCTTTGGACAGAGGTGAGAGCAGCAACATCAATGAAGTTGTTCAGCCACTAAGTCTCTTTGCAGCCCCATGGACTGCAGCATACCAGGCTTCCTTGTCCTTCTGTCTCCTAGAGTTTGCTCAAACTCATGTTCATTGAGTCAGTGATGCTGTCTAACCATCTCATCCTCTGCTGCCCCCTTCTCCTTTTACTCTCAATCTTTCCCAGCATCAGGGTATTTTTCCAGTGAGTCGGCTCTTCGTGT